CTTCTCAGCCATGGAAGTCCATTACATGGGACTTTGTGGTTAAACTACCACTCTCAAAAGATCCTACTACAGGAATTGAGTACGACGCGATACTCAATGTAGTAGATAGACTAACAAAATTTGCTTATATGATACCATTCAAGGAAACATGGGATGCTGAGCAACTAGCATATGTGTTCCTAAGGGGCATAGTAAGCATACACGGAGTACCAGATGAGATAATCTCGGATCGAGACAAGCTCTTTACCTCGAAATTCTGGACTACCTTGCTAGCACTTATGGGTATCAAGAGAAAGCTATCGACATCTTTCCACCCACAAACAGATGGTCAAACAGAGAGGACCAATCAGACAATGGAAGCATATCTTAGATGCTACGTAAATTACCGACAGGACAATTGGGTAGAACTATTACCTATGGCACAATTCGCATATAACACATCGGAAACGGAAACCACAAAGATTACACCAGCACGCGCTAACTTTGGGTTCAATCCTAAAGCATACCAAACACCGATACCACAGGAGGTTAATGCCGAATCAGCAATAATACAAGTCGAACAATTAAAGGATTTACAAGAGCAGCTTGCTCTTGATCTAAGATTTATATCATCCAGAACAGCAGCCTACTACAATACGAAACGTAGTATGGAACCTACGCTTAAAGAGGGGGATAAAGTTTATCTGCTACGACGAAACATCGAAACCAAAAGACCAAGCAATAAACTAGATCACAGAAAACTAGGACCATTCAAGATTGATAAGGTAATAGGAGCCGTTAATTATCGGTTGAAACTACCAGACACGATGAATATTCACCCAGTGTTTCACATATCCTTACTCGAACCAGCACCACCAGGAGCGCCAAGTGCGCCATTTACGGAAATCGAACCAGTTAACCCGAACGCCATATACGATGTCGAAACAATACTAGATTGCAAGTACGTCAGAGGCACAATCAAGTATTTAATCAAATGGTTAGATTATCCACATACCGAGAATTCATGGGAACCAAGAACAAACCTCAACTGCCCTGGGAAGTTGGAGGCGTTCCACCAGCAATACCCGGATTTGCCCAGAAAGAAGGAGAATCCATTGAGGCAAGGATCGAAGGATCCAAAGAAGAAGAATCGAAAGCAAAGGAGTCGTCGCTAGGATCAGCAGTCGAAACAGATGCTTGTTCCCGCTCCTTTTCAACACGTTCATTTTCCAACCTATCCTTTTCCTCAGCTGCATCCAGCTCATCCAAGGTTTTCAGACCACGACGCAACATGGCACCAGCACGGTCACGAAGGGATCGTTGCTGAGTGTCGAGGCGAATCAATTTAGAAAGAGTAGCACGGCGCTCCGTTTCCAGACGTTGTTCCTCGCGCTCCAAAGCATCCCAATCCGAGACAGTGGGAGGAAGAAGGTCACACTTCAGACCAGCTTTAACACACTCACCACAACGACGAGACTCTGACAAAACACGACATTCAAGTTTGCGGGAAGAACAACGAGCACAAGGATCATCCATAATAAAACCTCTTTCTTTGAATTTGGTATACAAGCAAGCACGATTTTCAGTTGATTTGGGAGTCCTAACAACAGGCATTATGAAAGAAAGAAATCAGTCATTACATTATTACAAGAAGTGGGGTAAACACTATAAGTAACGCTTGGGGACAAGCGCTAAGCTAGGAAGGGGATAGTGTTACGATGGTCTGCCACAATAGACGTCATGTGACCCCGACGCTTAGGTAACCGGATCAGAGGGATCATTAGTGATCCAGTTGATCGGATCAGAGGGATCATTTGTGATCCGACTGAGCACAGAGAACGAAGGTCTATATAAGGGAATGGGTTTCATTACAATGTAGAGCTTCGTGCTCAAGAACAATCATTAGTTTCATTACTATAGTTACGAGAATTGCAACCAGTTACAACCTTATTGAATTCCTACTTGAAGTCTAGTCTAAACCACCTCGAGAGATCTCTAGCCACTTCCACGTGACCCTAGAGGCAGCTCCCGTAACATTACGATTCCCGTTACGGAAAAACTATTTCTATAAGTCGAATACCCTACTTTCTGTTACGGGAGCTGCCTTTAGGGTTATGTGGAAGTGTCTAGAGTTCTCTTGAGATGGTTTAGTCTAAACTTCAAGTAGGAATTCAATAAGGTTATAACTAATTACAATTTTCATAATTATAATAATAAAACTAATAATTGTTCTTGAATACAAAGCTTTATATTATAATAAAACCCATTCCCTTATATAAACCTTCATTCTTTATCCTAATCTCTAAAACCTTTTCAATATGTTGGATCGTTAAGGATTGTAATGTGCTCCAGGAGCGCTGAAGCTCCTTGACGCTTTATCACGTGTAATTTATGTCATGTGACGTGGTATGTTGGATGCCGTCGTAACACTTTCGAGCCACCCTCCTTTTGGGCCACTTTTTACACCAAAAATGGAATTTTTAACTCTTTTATTTATGGATATAATTTATTGAAAATTTGTATATATATAATTCAGACCGTTTTGAATTTAATCTGAAATTTTTAGATTTTTAGAATTTTTCTGTATTGAGATCTAGAGCCTCAAAATATCGATTTTTAAATTTATATAAGAATCACATATAAATTTAAAACTTTTATAAAATCTTTAATAACTCTTTAATAAAAATTATTAAAAATAAACTATAAAATTTTATTATAAATTTATAATATATTTATTTTGAAGGATTCAGAAAAAAAAGGAAAATTTCTTATAAATAGATATTTAAAAGAATACTTTTAAAATTATAGGGATTATTTATACTATTCTAAATTCATTATATACTATATCTCTATATTTATTAAATTTTTTTAATTTTTTTTAATTTCTATATAGATTTAAGTTCAAAACTTCTAAAAAGATATATAGTTTTCTTTTAATAATTGTTATTAAAAAGTTATTAAAGATTTTATAAAACTTTTAAATTTATATGTAATTCTCATACAAATTAAAAAATCGATATTTTAAAGCTTTAGATCTCAATACAGAAAATTCCTAAAAATTTCAAAATTTCAGAATAAGCTTAAAATGGCTTACATTATATATATTCAATTTTTTATTAAATTAGATTATATATTGATAGAGATATTAATAAGCTAAAAAAGCGATTTTTAGTGTAAAAGGGTGGCCCAAAACAGGGGTGGCTCGAAAGTAGGATGATTGACTTAATAACTACTTTATAAATTCGAATTTTTAAAACTAATTAGACTGTTATAATCCATATAAATTTGAATATTTTATATCAAGTTTTCAGAAGATTTTATTTATAAATAAAGAAAGTGCACGATTATACACAAACAAATTTTATGTATAAAATAAGTGACTCATATACTGATATAACCCACACGCTGATAAACCACGTTGTTGAATACTTGAAATGCAAGATTTCTTCACTCGGGCATGGAAATCTGTATCTCTTCCTCTCCAAATCTTTTATTTTAGCATATTCGATACTTGACGTATAAGCTTATTCACTGGTGCATAGAAATTTCAAGTCGGTTTGTAAACAGATGGATGGATGCGAATGAAATAAGTTTATCTACCTAGGCATATCAATGAGTATTGAATATGTGGCGCTGAATATGACGAGGCATTCAGCTCTTACATCCATGTTATAGATTCTGGAAATCAACAAGATGAATACTTGTGTAGGAGAAAATTCGACTGCAAAACTTGACAGTTACGTTCAGTTGTAACAGATATAAATGTTCAAGGAGCATTTAGTATACTTTATTTATCAAGTTGCTTCATTCTCAAGTACAAAAAGTGCAAGATAAGATTCATGCCATCACAACTTCAAGGCCTTGTTGAAATTCCAGATTGATTCACTATATGAGCAAATTTATAAGCACCCCTTCGTTGTAAATAAAACCTGTTATGAGGTATCAAATCCAAATTGTTGGGGACCATGGGTGATATTGAGACACAAACACCGAAGATCATTCGATTCACTTTGTTGACCTAAGAATAATTAATCTCTGACACCTCATACCACACCACAGTAAGAGAAGAATCTTACTCCGCCTAGCATGTTTGCGTTATGCTGATAGATTCTAGCGCGCCTCTCCTTTCATTCAAAGTTGTGAGTATATCAACAGTAACTCATAATCTGTGACAACTTCATTCTCCGACCACTGAAATAAGGCTTAATATATTCTCAACTATCATTTCCTCAAGGTTATCATTTCTCTTTTCACATTTTGACCTTGTGAACTTGATCTGAAAATATTTTTCTGTTGAGGAGCGGGGTAAGTGGTCGTTTGGAGGTGCTTTGAGTCATCTACGTTGATATATATTCACCTAGCCGAAGCTCGTTTAATACATTTTGAGGAACTGCGGGGCTTATTCGAGGTCTGCCTCTTTCGCAATTTCTCCTCTTCTCCTTCTAACTTTCTGTTTTCACATTGACACATCAACTTTTTTCAGACTGCATTATCCTCGGTCGACCTACTGCTCTTCATAAATAGTATATCCTATTGGAGAGCGCTGGACGTCACACCAGTCAAGGTATACTGGTCTTCCTAAAATCTTGATACCATAACTTTGTCTCGTCACTTTCCATAAGTTAACGACAACTACACAGCATCACCAGAATTCAAGTAAGTACTTTCTTGATCCCAAGCCAAAAGAATGAAATTTATCCTCTGCTCTCTTTATCTCGAAGTACCTATTGAAGTCATTCGATAAGGTCTTTACAATTTCAGAGCTCGGTATCGCTATCCTGACATCTCCCCCTTCCGTTTTCCACTTTCGTTCATTTTTACACAACTATTTTACCCGCTCTTATTCAACACAAAAACTTCCAATCTTTTGAGAGTTTACTATAAAATTCTACTGACGACCTGTCAGATCCAATACATCTAGCTCACTTAACCTTGTTAGCTTTTAGTTACCCTTATAATTCATCACTTCACATCTACATCACTGACGCTTTCATCTTTCAACAACCTTTTGAGGAATTTTGATGTCGAAAATGGAGCTTGACGATACATGGGATCCTGATCCTTTGCCAGGTTGCAGTTCTAGGAACCAATCTCAGCCTCGATTTAAAAAAGAAAAAAATCATCACTCAGAAGCACAACCGGAACTGAAACCTCAATACTACCAACAATTAAAAAGTTCTCATCCACATCATAGAAGTCGGAATGCGCCCATGAAGCTTTATCAAGCCTTTTCAGACGATGAAAGCTCATCTGATGATTACCCTGTCGTCCTGCAACAACCGCAGATCAACCATAAAAGAGTGATAAGTCCTGTTCAACCTGCGCAAGAGAGACGGAAGCGACATCAGAGTGAGCATCCAAGTCGCATTGATCGTGGCCGCACGTCAAACGTAGAGGAGGTTGTATATGATCATATCTCGGCGATCTCGCGGTCACGCAATAAATCGGTCGCCCGCAGTGACGCTCGATATAAGGTTATGACAAAAGATGCTTTCAAAGGGTATCAAAATGTCGAGGATTCCGTGGCAGCTAGCAGAAAATCGGTCGCCCGTAGTCATTCACGCGCGAGAGACTTATATGAGGATCAAGGCTATGCTATAATGGAAGATTACAGCCAGCAGTTCGCCAATGAATCAAGTGTCTTTTCACATAAGAACATTGCTCAAAATAGAAGACACATGAGGGAGGAGCCAATGTACGAATCTATGCCACCTGTTACAGATGCTCACAGACCAGCTGGTCGAAGTCGCAAAGAAAATCCAAAAGCCAAACACGAATCAGTCGGTACACCCAAACAAAGACAAAAACATGGTTATTCTGGTGCACAAAGTCTAGCCCCGCGAAACTCCAACGATAATGGCGATGTTCAATATATGGGCATTGAAGATGGTATGCACAATGTCGGAACCCGAAGACAAGGAAAGGAGCCCCAACTTCGCTCGCCATTATGGCCAAGCCATGATTCTGCTATACCCAAACCTTCCTCTGCTAACAGATTGCAAGGGAGAATGGACAAGTCTACCTCGCTGAAGCAACCTCCACATACGCCAAAGAATCAGTCAGTGCGAGTTGGATCAGTTGCGTTTGATCACATGCAGAACAATTCAAGTCAAGCCCGATTAATCGATTATGGTCCCATTGGTGATGACGATGTCTACGACACACCATTGGAGAACGATCTTCGCCGTAGATCTAAGTCTCACCTGAGGGCTCATAATGGCCCCATGAGCTTTATAAATTCTCTACCAAAGTCTAGTGTATTTCGAAGAAAGAACTCCGAGGTCGCAGAGCAGGTTCATCAAACTCCGTCCAGCGATTCAAATAGATCTAACAATTCGGGGGTCACTATTGATCTCGTTACGCCAGAAAGTACCTCTTGTGCTCGTAACTCAATGCCTTTTATACCTCAACACTGGACGCCAACAAGAAGAGGTCCGATCAAAGGACCGGCTCCCATGGAACCCTCTGATCAGGATGGTATTGGCGCTGAAAGTGAACAAAAACCTGTTCAGAATACTCATCAGCACCAAGCCATTGAATCTAGCTATAATAAGGGAGAGCAACCTGAAGAAAATCTTCGCCAACTACAAGCAGCTGAGAAGATCATCCGACAAGAACTCAATGCTGATAATGAGGCTTTGCAAGAAGAGCTGTTCGGAGAAGTTATTGGCGAAACTGAGGAAGAAAAGAGAGGGCGTGAAGAAGCTAGACGTTTGGAAGCTCAGAGATTGCGGGAAGAGAAAGAGGAGCAAGATCTCATTGATGCCGAGAGGAAGCGAAAGAGGAATGAAGCAAGATTCAAGAAAGAGAGCGAGAGAAAAGCGGCTGAGCAGGCCGAGAAGGAGAAAGAAGCAGCAGCAAAAAAAGCCAAACGCGACGCCGAACGCCATCATCAATCTTTGAAAGAGCAACAGAATGCAGACGAGAGACGTAAGGCTGCAAACAAGTTGCTACAACAGAAGAAAGAAAAAGATTTGGCTGCGGCCAAAGCTGCCGAGGAAAGAGCCCAAGCTGCAGAAAAGGAAAGAAAAGAAAATGAAGCTAAGTTTGAGCAAATGAAACGGCAATTGGAAAAGCTTGAGGCGCAAGTTAAAGCAAAATCGATTGCGGAATTAAAGCCAGCGAGGAAATCTACGGCTGTGGACGGTATCTCCAACAAAGTTAACTCTCTACCTCCTCAAGGCACGCCTTCAGCAAGTATGGAAATCGACAATGAAAGTCCATTATCCACTGCACAGACCCAAATGACACCTATGAATGGTACTTCAAACACAAACACAAACACAGGAAAGACTTCACCTCTTCAAGCCACACTTCCAATGAACACCGAAGTCGAAGATGAAGATTCACTGTTCGTTTCAGATAATCGAAAGACAGTTGTGGAAGCCACTCCAGAACGGCAAACCTCGAATGGTCTTCAAAGCACCACAGGAAGCTTTAGCAGTGACTCGACAATTGTTGAGTCTATAGAGCATGATCGACCTCCTACTAGTATGACTGAGATCTTTGCCAAGACAATTCTTAATCCAAGTGGTGACAAGACTCTCGAAGACAGAGACGCGGAGCGTGAAGCTATTCGCAAAATTAGAGCAAACGAGAATGCAGCTGCCAAGCAAAATCGAGCAAAGTCCATACCCGCGGAGCCAACCACAGAAAACTTTGCTCGTAAGACTGCTCCTCAGGCAGCTCCAAGAGCGCCAACAAAAAGCCCGTCGAAGAAGAAACGGACTCAGTCGCTGGCAAAATCATTGGGAGGTTCCATATTCAGTGTTAAACTAAAACCTTTACCGGGACATGAGCCCGAAGGGTATGCTCCTCGCGAACAACCGGAAGAACCTCAGAGTGTCGCTAAGATCTCTACTTCACAGCTTGCAGTCTCGAAACCACGCCCACTTCCATTGCATATCTCTCCCTCTTTTCCTTCACCAGCAAAGTCTACCACTACTTCAACTAGACCGGAAACTCGTCTGATTTCACAAGCAGAGCGAGAGGAAATTGAAGCTAATCGTCAAAGAGTCCAGGCTGCGGCACAGGCTCGGAAGGAAAATTTGAACAGAGCAAGATTGGAGGAGAAAAAAGCTGCATCTGCGAAGAAGAGAACCGTTGAATATCGCAAGAGGAAAGAAAAAGAACTCATTGAAGAAGCTCGTAAAGAAGGTAGAGTATTGGGTAGTTCTGAGCTAGAAGCCGGGCTTAACAAGTTAATGGAAAAGCGAGAGGTATACTTCCACATTAATCCACTTTTATATATTTTCACTAATCAGAGAATCAGCGCGAGATAAATCGAAAAAGAAATCGTGGGGGGGAAAAGACTTCATCAAACAAACATGAACATGCACCTGCTTCTAGCACCATCATACCTAATGGTTCTGGCGTGGTCACGGCGCAAGTCTCATCCTCCGACACTGCCAGTGATTCTAATCAAATAGAAGAAGATGATGACTCTACGGCTCTAGCTCTGAAAGAACACAAGATCAAAACGGCTGAAGCTTTAAAAGAACGGGCGCAATCGCGGGCAGCTCGACGTGCCCAACAACAACCTGTGAGAAAATTGAATCCAATTTTCGACTCAGACGAGTCCGAGGAGTCTGAAGAAGATCCGATTGATGATGAAACAATGGAAATGATGATGGAACAGGCTCGAAAAAATAATGCTCTTGCAGAAGCTACAACGGCTGGCGAGAAGAATGACGGGATCCAATCAGAAACTCGAACTGAGGAAGAGATTGCTCTTGAAAAAGAGATAGAAGGTCTTTTCGAAGAAGATGCAGATGTCGAAGAAGAGTATCAAGAAGCAACCGCGACACTCAATCCCGATGAACATTGTGCCCAGATCGTTCCAACAATACCCAATATGACAAGATACTTTGAGGGTCAATCCGCTCCACGATCTTCCGGTAATCTAGAAACCCAATCACCACTACTTGCAGCACCTAGTCAAATGGCCAGAATAGTACCTCACAAGACCCAAGAGCCGGTATCATATAAAATGGTCAATTTATACATGGTCATGACACAAGTGACGCTTGACGAATGTGAGGACGAAGCAGTTCTCAAGAAGAAATTTTTTGATCTTGAAAAGGCCAACAAGCATGCACAGATGCTCGTCAACGAATGGAGGAGCAAAATGTTTAGACAACAGGAAATTCTGGAGAAGTGGGACTCTGATCGTATGTATCATGGTCAAATCATTCACGATGAACAAAAGACTACCAAGATCTTTGTCATGTTTAAGCCAATGAACTCCGAAGATGCTGACAGATACGATCCAACAATGATACGCCCGATCTTCGCTAATCGATATTACACGATTCGATTTGAGAAGGTCGTTGAGGAAGTTGACCCTGAAACCCAAAAAGTCTGTATGACAGAACGCATTACTGGATTTGCAGATGCGAGCAAGCTATACACAGTTTTAGAGATGGCAAATCATGCTGCCGCCGAATATCTCACCAAGAAAATCGAACCCAAAGAAGAGGAGCATCATACTGCATATGTAGAAGACATGCTCCCACAAGTGAGGGCAGAGAGAGACTCTTGCAACGAAACTGGTACAAAATTTTATTGCTCGCTAGAGGATGATTCAGTTCCTTGGGCAGATTTCAAGTCTTTCGAGGTCAAGGTAGAATTGTCCATCACTGAAGGCCCGATAAATTAATCGCGGTAGCAGTGAACTCGCTCACCTCGCAATCTTCTATCATGATTGTAATTGCTTACTGAAACGATTATCATCGTTTATTTTCTTACCACTACGACACTACTACTTTTATCAAATTCCCTCTTGTTTGCCGCCAAGCTGCACATCTCCATATACTCAATCCGTTTCAGCATCACATACGTTCACTACATATAATATCGATCATTTCAGCAACAGGTCCGCACTCAAAAGTGCCCAGGGCAACAGAAAATTCAACCCCCACTTCACACCAGAATCATCACAACATCATTATTCCAGTGCATCAAATTCAACATCAAATCAACCATAATCACAATCACAACCGCCTAATCACCAACAATTTTCATTATCAATAAACAAATAATACAGTTAGAAAAGAAAGTGCAGAAGTCAGTTCAACCATTAGACGTTCAAGGGTAGTAATGACACGAACAACTTTTGGGGGACTCATCGATGAGTTTATTTCTTGCTGTTGATTAATAGAAAGGGCGTGAGATTTGGCTATTTTTATTTTACGTCATCCGCTTTATATTACTTTTTGCTTTTAATCCGGTGTTCAGGATGAGAGGTTCCGCAAGCTTCATGGATAGAGGTTGGTAATGGGATCGAGTGGGAAAGGGGGGATGAGACTATAGGCGGGCGGAGAAAGGGGTGAGCTTGTGCCAAGCATAGCACATAAGCTGAGTGAAAGATACGTGAGAGGAAGGAGAATCCATTAGAGAGGAAAGAGCAACACATTTTCCTTTTTCGTCGTTGTTTTAATGAAATTTTATTAATACTGCTCCTCAAAGAAGTCAAGCATTTGTTGTCGTCAAATTGCGAACTCTCGTGATAATGATTAAGTGATGAAACGGCAAACTATTGTTTATATTTTGGCTTGTATAATGACAGGCAAAGGTACTAACTTTTTGGAATAATTATACCTGCGAATCCGATTTCCATGATAGTAGTGCTCAATATATCTCTACAGACTTCAATGAAACTCCGAGATACATGCTTGAGGCTTTGCGTGTCAACAAATATAGCCAAACGAGTCTCTCGTTCTCGGTGAATTTTCCACTATGATTTCTGAAAACTAATTTGACAGCGACAAAGGAGAGACAGCAGTGACAACTGCTGTTGGGAAGACATTGGATTAATTGGAAGTATACTGGAGGAACAACTTAATGATTTAATTTTTAATTCGGAGTTGAAGCAAAGGTCCGCAAGAATTCGCAGGTTCCGCCTAGAGGCTTCTCGCATTCCCCCTGTATCTTGCAACCGTGGTGGGTAGATTACATACTAATTACGAATTTATATAGAAAAAGAGTGTAAAGCTCAAGTAGTGAGCATGGGTGAGATGATGAATGTAGTGAGTCACATGCCAATGCTGAAAACTCAATAGATGAGCATCCCGCATCAAGGTGAAATTAGAAGAGGAAGATTCAAAACCTTTCCTTCCATTTAACTAGCAACCTCATATATATCGCTCTCATCTTCTCGAGTGAATCTCTGCCACATCATATCTGGTAATATCTTCCAGTGACAACAATATCTTAGTCACGACAATCATGATAACTATATTAACAATAGTAGATCTTCGTGTCTCCTGCCCAATCCTTGATTCAAGCAAAGTATTGCCTTTTGTACCCATGCACTCACAAAACAACCGAAGAAGCTTATCAACCAAACCGATCTTCGGTCTTACCGGTGAATCATTCACAGAATCATTCACACAATATTAGCTACCGCGAAACTGATTTACAACCTGACCCCTCACCATCTAATGTACCGGACTGAGCATATATATATTATATGGTGTATAACACCTATTCTAGCCACTATATTCCTGACCTTTACTTACGGGATGATTTCCGGCAAGGGGCTAAGTGAAGGTAATACTTTTATATCCCCAGGAAGATCGATCGCAACCTCTTTGATGCTTGCTTATAGGGTCCTGATGCAGAATATACGTCTCTTTTTGTATCGGATAGATAGGGTACGGCGTAGAGTATTAATGAAAATGAAGTTCTCTAGTGGCAGTGAACAGAAATAATGACGATAGTGCTACTGTTGAGATGAGAAGGGCTGGTTGATTAGGTCTCGAGTTAATTCTTTGTATTGATTGTGTTTTTACAAACCAGAGACAGTACAACGGCCCCGTAGTTCGCCTTTACAATGTTCAATCTCTTCCTACTCAGACAATACATCCTGGACCTATCCCGTAATCTACAATCTAATTGTACGCATTGTCACACTCTTTCATCAGATCGGCATTAGTTAGGATATCCAATAGAGACAGCTCGACAAGCAATCATATTGTTTCATTGACAGGTATAGCATTTATATGAGCGTTGTCAACTCGCCCAGAATTGACTTGGAAGGTAATGATACATTATGACACACAAAATCTCAACAATCCTCAATTGAAGTTCATATACAACACTTCGCTCACCACTAGCCAGGCGTTATGTGTATCCTAACATGGCCCACCTTTCGCCATAGGTATCCATCCTCTTCACTTCAATGAAGCACAGTAAGCCAAGGCTAAATGCAATAAATTACACGTTTCAATTGTAATTAGGAGAAGATATCACAACAAAAGTAATGTCGAATCACTATCTCCTAATACACATATCAAAACCGATAAATTTTCTCTCGAAACACCTATTTTGGAGCTTCTCCATCGACGAAGCTCAAGGCATCTTCCTTTCCAACAACACCAATTCCACTAGTCTTGTTATGGAAAGTAACACCATAACATTTGTTTGCCACCAAGACCATCTCTGGTCTGAATGTTGTGCAAATAAATTGTCCACCCATGACCTTTTGTTTCTTGGAACCACCTTCACCATCTTCATCGTTATCAGATTCTTCATCTGAGTTATCTTGCGATTGAGAAGCTTGTGATTGTTTGGCTGAGATTTCCTTAAGCATTTGAGCTACAGCGGTACGGTATTGAGCATCAAGATTTGCGTCAATTTCGTCAAAGAGATAGAAAGGAGCTGGGTCACACTGTTGGATCGCGAAGACAAGAGCGAGGGCGCATAGACCTACGGGCAAGGCAAATTAGTATGTTTAATGAGGAACTTGCGGAGGGATGTGACATACTCTTTTGTCCACCAGATAATTGTTGAATACGTTGTTGATCGTCGTGTTTACTATTGAAGCTGACACTGATTCCAACACCGACATAATTCTCAACACTGTCCCGTGCTTCTTCATCCGAATCTTCTTCCTCTCTTGCACGACGGTCTGTTTTACGTTGAATAACAAGACGACCACGACCAGCTGGGACAAGACGCTCGAAAATTTGGGCAAACTCCTTAGATACTTGCTTGAATGTTCGCTCAATGGCTTCATCCTTACGTTGATCAAGGACCTCAACGAGTTCTTGAATTGACGATTGGGAATCATCAAGTTCCTTCCTACGCTTAGTCAGACTATCACGCTGAGTTGTGAATTGATTGTATTGTTCGAACGCCTTCTTGTTAACGTGTTTGTACTTCTTGAGAGCTTCTTGGACCTTTTTTAGTCGAGATTGAATCTTGAAATGTTAGTGCACAGGGCAAAAAGATTATCAAGGAAGTTTGCTTACGGATTTTGGATCATAATCCTTATACTTCTCGAAAGCTTCATCAGGCAAGACACCCAAGTCGCGAATGTTCTTGGCGCAATCTGCAGCACTAGTGGTAAGGATGGCCTTTCGAGCAATACTCTTCTCCATCCTCTTCTGGTGCTTCTCAATTAATGCAGCAATCTTATTCTGTTCCTCTTCTTGGCGACTCCTCTCTTGTTCCAAATTGTTGATGTTTGATTCGGCTTCTTCCAATTGCTTTTCATTTTCCTGGAGCTTTGACTCTACAGCACTTGAAGCCTTGGTGATACGCTTCAATTCTCTTTGGGATTCTTTCAGATTACCAGAACCACTACCGGTAGCAAGATCGAATTCATGACTGTTCAATTGATCAAGCCTGAGTCTAAGATTCTCACGGAGTTCAACCTCAATCATCTGTTTGCGGCTCTCGAGATCTCTCCGACTTCTGCTGTGTTCATTCCATTGCTTTTGTAGATCCTGGACAGAAGCATTGAGCTGCTCAAGCTGTCTTTCTTCATTGGCCGTCAATGCCTTCTTGAAATCAGACGCAATTTCTGCTTCGTAATCAGCAATTTTAGCGGCATGATCTTTCAACAATTTGAGAACATCTGCTTGATTGCGAAGAAGTTGTTCAAGCTGCGCCTTCTGTCTTTCAAGGTGCGCTTGTTTTGATCTCAACCCTGACTTTAATGGATCCAGGCCGTCAACAAGTTTGTGCTCCTTTTGACTAGCCTTTTGTTCTTCAGTATAAGCGGCCGTGATTTCTTGATCTTTTTGCTCAATTTCCTTTCTGATCTCATCTTGTCGCACCTTCAAAGTTTCGTACTCATCCCGCCACTTGGCCAGTGCACGAACAGCTTGAAGTCTCGATTCCTTTGGATTAAGGTATCCACCAGTCAAGGCACCTTTCCTATTTGTAGTATCACCGTCTGGTGTAATAGCATTACATCCGTGACTTCTTGCATACTGTGCAGCAATTGTGAGGTTGGGACAGACGATAGTTTTGCCGAATACTTGCTCGAAGGCTGGTTCATACTTTTTGTCGTACCGAATCTTGCTCAACATAGGTATGGCATCAGAGGCATTTGGCAAGTTACCTGGCTTGAATCTGAGTTGGCTCAAAGGAACAAATGTAAGTCTTCCGCCCTTATCCGCGTTTAAAGCATTAATAAGTTGCGTTGCGGTTTCTTCGTTGTCAACTACGTAGTTGAAAAGACTGCTACCAGCGGTCTGTTCCACAGCTACTCGATAAATTTCTTCAACTTCAAGGAGCTCTGCTAGAGTGCCGTATGCGCCTTGGATGTTGTGCTGCTTTTTGAGACGTCTCACTGTGGCTAGACCACGAGATGTAGCGCTATCCATGGTCTTTGCTAATTCCGACTCGGCTTGAAGAACCTCTTTGCGA